ATAGAACCGGGAAGCGCTGAGGAACGAGACTTTCTTTTGGATGGCTGTTTCGCTGTTTAAGCAGTAACCGGTGACGAAGACGAGGAAGCTTCGGGTTAGCTCTGCCGCTTGTTGTGCTAACTCAGCCGTCTATGCTAACAAGACTTGTAGATTTCTCACAAAAGTGGGGGCTAGTGGTGCGCTGTGATTGGTCACAATCTGCGACCCGAAACACATTCGCTTCGTTGTTTAATCAAAACTCGATCTAAAATATAATGTCACGCCAGCACAAATCTGCGCTACTTTTTCTTCAAAAGGACGTATATTCCAATGCACTAGATGGACATGGATAGCAGATTTGATAACAGATTTGATAACTGTTATCTTGATAAAGATAACAGTTTCTCAACTTCTACACGACTGACGCTGAAAAGCAATTAGCAAAAACAACCGGGCTCCTTATTCATATGCACAGCATCTTCACCATGTCAAAAAACAATATAGTTCTAGCGCCCGACCAGTAGGGGGCAGTGGAAAGTTTCAACACGTGGGACCTCCAAAGACGTGAATGAATGCATCAACATCATTCTGCATTTAACAGTAGCTGAAACTAGAGCTTCGCATGGTTTTGTTTGGACAAATGAAGGATTAGAATTCTCCAGGTAGAGCTTGAAGCATAAATAGCTTCGGCTGCCATTGTTGTTTACATTTGTTCTTGGCTACTGCACATTTCCAAGTGTATGTGCGGGGAAGTGGAGGTCAAAGCAGCAGAGAATTTACACACAGCTGTGAAACAGTCCCCCGCTGAGTGTATCTGTAGGCCGTTTCTCAACGCTTGCGTTATCACCCCCCTGAAACACTGTTTTCCACTCTGAAGCCTAGTGTAAACTTGTGTAGTGCTGAGCTTGCGCAAGGATCATGACTAGGGTTGCAGAGATTAACGTGTTTTACGGTAATCGCGATTATAAAAGTCTGCGGTAGGTTAACCATAAGGATTTTAGATGGCATGGTTTTACCGGTGGTCCGGAAAACACTCGCGTGAGGTGCAACATTAGGTACGGACCGCTGCACACGCCGCAGACTCACCGGTAAATGGAAGATGGAGTTGTATCCACCACAACTTAAGTCAGATGTGTGAGATCACTTTGGGGATCCAAAATATGAGCAAGGAGTTGTTGCCAATACTTCAAACATGACACAACATCTTCAGATAATCCTCCATTGCTGTTTGTCCAAGTCAAGGAAACGACAGCATCGTTGTCAATAAAGTTGTCCAAATGTTCAGAAATAAGCACCAAAACTGTCCCAGGTGCACATTAATGCAAATGATTCAGCAAATGTGAAAGTGAAAGTTACTGGTGAAAACACTCACACATGTGCTGGGAGACGCTCTTAAAGGGACAGTACGCACTTATCCTTAGTCAACAAAACAAATGCAGACATGACACCTGGACTACAATTATGAAGATGGCTGCAACTACTACTACTACGTCTGCGTAGGTTTTCTCTGGGTACTCCGGTTTCCCCTACCACTAAAAACATGCACAATAGGTCTGGCATGCGCCTCCTGTACTGGCGACCCCGCTCCCATCTCTGTGTGGAGTGAGAGGACAAATGCCCAAAAATAACAATTGTAAACCGCTTTGTGACTCTGGTCTGTGAAATGCGGTATATAAATAAGATTACTTACTTGAGGCGACAGTAGCTCAGTTGGTAGAGCATTGGCCTTTGAGCCATAAAATAATGTAAAATATTATATGATCAATTTATACTTTTATGTTTTCCAGCAAAAAAACAAAAAACCAATCTGAATAGATTTTCTTTCGTAATGTCAATAATCGTGATTATTCGAATAACCACAATATTTTCTCTCACAATAATCGTGACTAAAAAATTTGAAATCATGACCAACTCAAGGGTCACAGCTAGGGATGTACCGATCCGATATTCAATATCGGTATCGGGGGCTGATATGGGTATTTTGTAAGGATCGAATAATATCGGATATTTTAAATATGAAGCCGATTTACGCATGTCCGTGCAAGGCATAGCATGTGCGGTGTGGCAGAGGCAGTGGACACGGAGACCCAATGCATGCGGCGAAAGCAAGAGATTAACTTTTTCCTCTGTGCGGATATCAGAGAGTGGCCACACAGAGTCGTCAAGGGGGCACAAAACAGGAGATAAACCAGGACTAAACCAGGATTTCACCAGGACTAACTATGGGGGAGACTGCTTGTGAGCTCATTCCCGTGACTGTAAACAAGGCTGCTAACGTGTGTTAGCCGACACGACAAGCGTATTTATTCAGGTAAAAATGCAAAATCTTTAATGCTTTGAAAATATTAGAAACATTTTTATCGGATGGGTATCGGCAAAACAATATTTAAGAATATCGGAATCGGATCGGTATCGGCAAAACAATATTAAGAATATCGGAATCGGATCAGATTACAAAAAATCTGGATCGGTACATCCCTAGTCACAGCAAGACCCTTGCTTAGCCACCCGTGCATCCACGGATTTTTGGTTTGGGTTAGCTGGCAGTGCAGACAAGGTGCACTGTGATTGGCCCGTGTGTGACCATGTTTTGGATGGAAGCATGGCGCGGCTGCTGGGGAACATGGACGAGGCACTTTGGAGCAGATTGCTTCGTGCTTCCAAGGCGACCAAAGGAAAATAAGTTTGGGATCATGGCTCAGAGCCTGATATACGCAGAGGCTGTGGACTAGAGTTTTGTTATATCACAATATAAGTGAATCAGTCAGTATTGATAATTATTGATTGTTTTTTTTGTTTTTAAACCTAAATAAATACATTTGTGCATGTTAGCAGCCCTTGTTTATAGTCACGGGGGAATGAGAACTCAGGCTGGAGTTATAATATGTTCACAAGCACAGTGTCGCCCATTTTTAGTCCTGGTTTAATCCTGGTTTAGTCCTGGTTTAGCTCCTGTTTTGCCTTTTTTTATAGTGTCTGAGGACCTGAGGGAGTTTCATCATAAATACTATGAGTTCTATTAGAACACTGCAAATGCTGACAGCATGTTGGGATTATGATCTGGCAAACATAAATCAAGTTTATTTATAAGGCACACCTTATGCAGTTCAACAAAAGTGTGTAATAGAGGCAACATACTGTACACAGTTTTTGTTCTCGACTCAAACATTCCTAGTTCTCTTTCACAATTTTAGGACGACTGTTTCAGGTTCTGGATTACAGGCCAGTCAAGGAAAGTTTATTTTATAGCACATTTCATACAAGGCAACTCAAAGTGTTTAACAAAACAAGAAAAAGGGCAGGGTGGCATATCTGATTCGAAGGGCACTGGCACGTGGAAACCTGAAAATATGATGATCATAATGATAATAATAGTTACTGTGCAAACTGTACCTAATAAAATATATAATTTCCCCGATGTTGAATTATCTGTGTTTGATGAGATTTTTTGTTTTACCTTAAATTGTTTTACATGTATAAAGACTTGTATTCATTTGAGTATTCCTTAGAAATGGAACAACAGGAACAATATACCTATGGAACAATTAACTATTCAGAAGCTGCAATGATTACATTTGTCCACTAAATGTCAGTGTTTCAAGCTAGTCTGACCACAGAGGCTTCAACACACGTATGAGACAGTCTGGCAATGAAAGCCTCAATGTGTAACGGGGCTTCATATGCCCATCGATTGCGAACTGGAGACTTTTGGATGTTGCATACTCTTAAAACTGTGTTTAAAGGCAACCTATTACAACTAGATGAACGGCTCTGGAGGGAAAGAGACAGCATTTGTTGCAAATTCTTGGTAAAAATATATAATTTTCTTCTTGATGAGAGGCAAAGAGCTGCCTTCTGTTGGGCCGAGAGCTGCTGCATTCGCCACCCCTATTTATTTTGACTCTCGCAACGCATTTTATTGGATTAATTGACGCTAGTGTTTGTTTATGAGGTCTGCCCAGATTCAATGCCACCTTGTAGACAATGAACATGAACACTTGTCTGCAACTGGACAGGGGTGTTTGAAATGTTGAAAAAAAAAAAAACCTTGAGATCGTTACAGCAGTCTTAACAAATGTCAGAAAAATACATTTCCCTCGTTCTACGTAGGACCCAGTTAAACTCGCACAACTTATTCATCAAGATCTCATAATTAATCAATGGAGGTTGGACTTGCGCTACTTCCACTTGGCCCTTCAATCCTAACTCTGTGCACCAGTGGGAGACCAGGCCCTGTGCTCCTCGGAGTCTGAGTTGGTTCATATAATAGGAAAATGTCACATTTATTATAGATAATTATTTAATTGAATATTGTGTTAATTTGTTCTTCTGTTTCAATTTATTTGCGCACATGCAAAATATCATAATACGGAAAACAAATAATTGAAGTAATCATTCTGGCAACTTCACTTCCATATAATTGATCAAGTGAATCAATTATATGTTTGTGCAACACCTCCATCTGAGATCAGCTATTTTACAACCCAATTTATGTTTTTAATTGCAAAATTACAAGATGAATGAGTGTATTTGGGAAACAAAACATGTAGGGCAAACATGAGGGGTCAGGTGCTCTTCAAGGATCTGTGAGAAAATAAAGTGGACAACAAAAAGGAAAAGGTCCGAGGCACTCTTACCTACAATAAAACTTATTTTATTATTATAGGGACATTGCGATGCATTTTGCCCTCTCTTGGGTCTTGATCAAGACCCTCCTATTCAAAACAAGTCATGCTTTGAATAGGAGGAAGAGAACAGACAAGGAGCAGAATTCTGAAGATGTGTCTTCAGTAAAGGAGGAAGGGGAAGCGGGTCAGGTCTGACAGTGCTGTGAATAAGTGACACATGAGTAAATGTAGCCTTTGGACTCAAACAACAGTATTGTGTTCCTTATTGAGCAATTCTATTTTTTGCGGATTTTAAACTGTAATATTTTCACGTCGTCCCCATAACGGGCTCACCTCCCACTATCAGACCACTGATTAAACTAATGTTTTGTGTTGTTCTCCCTAACAGATACCATGACAGCTGCTACATCCCCCATTTTATTAAAATGGGATCCAAAGAGTTTAGAAATACGCACCCTGACAGTGGAGCGGCTGCTGGAGCCCCTGGTCACACAGGTAAGATTTTTTTTCAACCCACTATTGATGCTGTGTTGAGGAAATGCGAAAATTAAATTATGAGTGCAATTTTCATAAAAAAAAAAAAAAGGTTTCTGGTACATTGGGATACATTGAGATTTATCCCAGAATAAAATCAAAAAATCCTGAGAATAAACTCAAAATATCCTTTTGATTTTACAAGATTATTCTTATATTATGCCTTTGTATCCTCATAAAATTACAAGGTCCTATATTTATTTATTTATTTCAGGATAACCCCATTGAGATAATCTATCTCTTTTTTGAGCGGGTCCTATATTTCGCTCTTCATTTTTCACAGTCCATCCTATGTACATGTGTGATAATAATTTGGGTGACACACCATACAACACTCCTCTGCCTGTGAGCCCGCCTCTCCCGCACGCGCAGTGTTGTAGCCTCACGCTGCGATTTGTTTATCTCCAAAGCAAACTCTTCAGATTCGCCGGTACATAGTCATTTCAGACTGAGAATATTTGAGAATATTTTCCAACAATGGCATTTCTACATGATGCCGTTAGGTCAGTTAATACGCAGAAACAAAGTGTCCTATCATAACTATGCAGACGACACTCAGATCTATGTCTCACTGACTGCAGGAGAACATGGACCAGTGGACTCACTCCTTCACTGTATCCAACAGATCAGTGAGTGGATGCAAAACAACTTCCTTCAGATAAATGCAGACAAAACTGAAATGATTGTCTTTGGTCTCCAGAAACAAAGAGAGAGCGTCATCTGTCACCTACAGTCTCTCTCCCTAAAACCTTCTAACAAGGTCAGAAATCTAGGGGTAATACTGGACTCAGACTTAAATTTTAATAGCCACATCAAATCAGTAACATCAGCAGCTTTTTACCATCTAAAAAACATTGCCAGGATCAAAAACATAGTGTCTAAAGCAGACTTGGAGATTCTTATCCATGCATTTGTCTCCAGTAGGTTAGACTACTGCAATGGCCTGCTCACAGGTCTGTCCAAACAGGCTGTAAAACAGCTGCAGTACATTCAAAATGCAGCAGCTCGAGTCCTGACTAGAACCAGGAAGTACGACCACATTAGTCCAGTTCTCAGGTCTCTGCACTGGCTTCCTGTGGCTCAGAGAATAGACTTTAAAACAGCTCTGCTTGTGTACAAGTCTCTCCATGGCCTCGCACCAAAATATATTAGTGACATGTTAGTACCATACGAACCAAGCCGGACTCTGAGGAGCACAGGGACTGGACTCCTGTTAGTGCCCAGAGTCAGAACTAAACATGGGGAGGCAGCTTTTCAGATTCATGCTGCTAAAATCTGGAACAGTCTTCCTGAAGATGTGAGACAGGCCTCCTCTCTGACAATGTTTAAAACCTGGTTAAAAACAGTTTTGTTTAGCTGTGCATACAACTGAGGGATTTCTTTTTAATGTTCTGTGATTATTTATGATTTTAATGCTTTCTTATTTTGTTCAGCACTTTGAATTGCCTTGTGTATGAATTGTGGTATATAAATAAACTTGCCTTGCCTTGCCATTTCGGCACATACAGTAAAGGCTTTTTTCATAGATCTAGGATTAGACCCTAATTATTTACAGAAGTATACAGCAAGTTAGTTGCATTGTACTTACATATCTCAGCTCTGCGTTAACGTCTTTTATCATGGGAATAACACACAAGTCCAGTTTCATGATAACTGTAGTTCTGAAGTCTTTAGTGAAGTGTAGCAGATGAACAGATTTGTCACGGATTTCAGAAGCAGATCCCTGTGAAAATTAGTTTAGCTGCATTCTTATTCGAAGGCCAAATAGCACTGTAAAGATGTTTAAAGCAGAGATAAGTCAAAAAGCGTAATAGGGATGCACCGATACCAGTTTTTTCAAAATAGATACGAGTATCTTAATTTGAGTACTTTTTTTGCTCCGGTGCTAGTAGAGGTGTTAAACTCTGCGTGGTAATGAGTTTTCCAATGTTTGATCAAGTTGCTGGTGTTAAACGTGTTTGTTTTGGATCGTGACAATTTTGCGACAACGTACAGTCCGCTTTACTCACTCGTTTACTTTAAAAAACTGCCATAGAGATCCTGTCTGCTTGCAGCTAAACTAGCGGAAAGCGCTTTCTCGCTGCAGACTTTTGGAGATCACCATGGCAACACGTGCATGCAGATCCTAAACTCTATTGTATTTGTTTTTTTTTGTCCTGACCTTTTATTTGTATCAGTCAACCCCCAGTGTTTCAAGATGGCGACCTACTCAAATCAATGGCTTGTGCTCAGTTGCGCATGGGACAGCCTTCCGGACCGAGAGATTATTGCAACTCGTCCATATTTGGGCATAGTCCGGTCCTCCCAGTTATGCGCCGTGGACAAGCTCCCATGATGCATTGCAACAAATACGCGTGTGTGGCTCAGAGCAGCGCTTGAGCAGAATTAGAGCGGAAGCCAAACGAGTAGAATTTGTTACATTAAAGTGTAGATTTAAAGAAAACCGAAGGATTTAACAAGAAAAAAGCTGAAAGCTGTAGGTTCTCTATCAGCTGAGGTTGCGCTGTTTTAGTTTACATTGAGTTCTTTGGGACATTTTTTCTGGGTAGCCCATGTGAATTTAGTCTGCTGTACCATGGGCGCCCCTGTACCCATGGGTGGGACAACTATAAGCTAGTATTAACCTATACAGGTATTATTATATATCTAGAGTATAGAGTGTGTATAAACTTAAAATCCATTATACAATTTTTGTTTTAAAGGAGCAATATGTAATATTTGCATGTCAAGTCATCATTAAATGATTAAATGTTATTAAATCATACTCTTTTCGAATTAATCTTTAACTGATAACAGTAGTTCAGCCGAGATATTTGATTATCAAAATTAGTTTTACGACCCGTAAAAGTTGTTATTGTTTTGATTTTGATGTCCTACCCTCCGCCGTTTCGCCAATCAGGAAGTGTCATGTAAGTCCGTGATCGGGTTGCCAGAATTCCGCGCGGCTCACTAATCTCAGTGGTAAAATAACATGTGGCGCAGAACTAAAAAAGGTCTTGTTATGACTCTCAAATCATTAATGACAAAACAAAGACTAAAACGAGGATTTATATCGGGATGCCTTTGAACAATTGAGACAGCTGATAAATGTTTACGTGTGATGCAGAATTTTCTACTTCGAGTCCGTTCTTCACAGTGTCTCTATTCGTGTGAATCGGTGGTCTAGTGGTCTAAACTTTGCGCTTACGTTGCAGGAACCCGGGTTCAATCCCGTTATGTCGTTTTGTATTTATTTATTTATTGCATGTTATCACATTCTATGACAGATTGCTCTAAAAACGGTAAAAGATGAAGGTCAAGACGTTTTTTTGCAGATTATAGCTTAATTGTAAAAATAATCATTTAAGACCACATGTACCCCAATTAAAATAATGTTAGTCTCTTTTTGATGTGGGACTTATACTTGTTTGACTAAAACATAGGGAATAAATAAAATTGAAAGGTGATATCCTCTTGAGCAAACCCTGATGTTGATACGCTGAAGAAATACGTTCCAACATCCATTCTTCCCACTCCTATTTTGGACATCAATTGCTTATGTATTTTGCATAAACTATGTATAATTACATTGCTTTTATTTTGTTTTTGTTTTTTATCTCAAATGTCCAAATAATAATAATAAAAAAAAAATTAATCAAAACATTAATTCAGCATTAGCACGGCTGTCATGGCAATGTGAATGGAGACGGACAAACAACTGATAAAATAATTCCCTGTGTTTGCTGCTGGATTTGGTGTGAATCTGGCAACCTGAGTCAGGGAGAGTGGGAGAGGACTACAAAATATTGACTGTGACTGCAGTACCACTTTTGGCCAGATTTTTACATATTGTTCCTTTAAGTCTCAAAAATGCTAAAGAATCTGAAAAAGAGTTCAATTTGCATTGTAATTTACTGCAGATAAATAAACATAAACATTAATATTGTATATTGCTAAATAAAGTTTTGACAATGCTCAATATATACCTGAGGGGACCGTCGTATCAATCAATGTAAGACTAGCTAAAACAAAACATTGGTCTGATAAAATAAAACAAGGAGTTTAGACATTTACCAATACTGTATTTCACTTAATGTAGCTGATTGATTACACTTGATTACACTTTGAACAAAGCTGTTTGTACTTGGGAAGGACTTATAATATTGTTCCTGTATCCATTTCGTACTCTCAGCATGTTTCATTTATGTATTCACCCACAGAAGAAAAGCTGGCAAAGCCAACAACACTTTGCTTTTAGCAGCTTTCCACAGGATCTTGCTGCAGCCCCATGCTTTAACTCTTTATTATTGGATTCTGAACATATGAGTTCTCCTTGTCACATGAATCAATTCTGAATTTTCATTACACAGGGCACTCAACTTTCTTAAATAATAAACTCTGGCTTTTTAAATTGCATCAGGTGACAACTTTGGTGAACACAAGCAACAAAGGACCCTCCAGTAAGAAGAAAGGACGCTCTAAAAAGGCCCATGTGCTGGCTGTGTCTGTGGAGCAGGCCACACAGAACTTTTTGGAGAAGGGGGAGCAGATTGCCAAAGACAGCCAGGATCTGAAAGAGGAGCTCATTGCGGCCGTGGAGGATGTCCGGAAACAAGGTACATAATTTGCCAATAAATTATATATTCTACCTCACATATTTTTAAGTGTGACGACTTGCACAGTTGGTGGCTGATTTAAACTATGTTTGTATGTATATATCTAATGAATATTTGAAATCTGCAGTGACCATTAAATACTTTACAAAAAGAGAAGGATCATTGAGGAAGAGTTTGAGAACTCAATGTAAATTGAAATGATGTACTTTATTTTTCACAGGTGAGACCATGAGGATGGCTTCGTCTGAGTTTGCTGATGATCCATGCTCCTCTGTGAAACGAGGCACTATGGTGCGAGCTGCTCGAGCTCTGCTGTCTGCGGTCACACGCCTTCTCATCCTCGCCGACATGGCTGACGTCATGAGACTCCTGACGCATCTCAAAATTGTGAGTTTTCTATTAAATTTTACTTGCCTTTGTTGCAACAGTCAGGACAGTAAACAAAATAATTAACGAAATAATTAATTGCACACATTATGTATTGTGGATTTTTGACGGGTGGGCCGTTCCCGCTCATCCCGCTCATCAGGATACTGTCCGCATCTCCATCAGAGTTTATCATGGCGGCTTGCGTGCGGGTGAGGGGGGGTTTGGGAGACTCGGGGCCTATGGTTTGAAGTAGTCAGTGTAATAAATAACTACAATTTCACAAGGTCACAAAGTAGTGCTGGGTTAATTGTGCTCTAAAAAACTAACCCTAACCTTTTCAATTTTATTTGAATTTACACTATAATAGTGTACTATTTCTGGAGGGCCTAATTCATATTAAGTCATACTATTGTCAGTGAAAAAGTCAATGGTTTGATGCGTACAGCTGAAAAACACAGTTTAACCCTCAACAAAGTCCTCCCAAGAAGTTACTGAATTTCTGAATTACTCTCATTCACTAGTAAGACACTACTCGAGGAAACTAGTGTCTTGAAAGAGCATATTTGTTATTTATATTGTTTGAAACAGGAAGCACACTGCACTTCAAGGCAATCACCTTATAATATTGTAATTTTGATGTGTTTCTTTTGAAAGCCTGACATGTTCTGTATATTTGTTTTTTGTGTCAGGTGGAGGAGGCTTTAGAAGGAGTAAAGAATGCCACCAATGAGCAGGATCTGGCAAATCGCTTCAAGGAATTTGGAAAAGAGATGGTGAAGCTTAATTATGTAGCAGCAAGGAGACAACAGGTGAGAGCAGCTAACTGCTTTATATGGAATATAAATTCTTCAACATTTATAGATCTCATGGTAATGTGTTTGTAAAGCCCTTTGAGATGGCAAACATATTCTGTGGCCATTACATTTTTTGCATTGTACCTTATCTTTCTACGTTTCCCTCTTCAAGAAGTACCAATTCTTGCCTGAGACATGTCCTGAAGCATTTTTACTCTGAAGACGTGTTTTTGACCTGTTATAGAGAGGCCACTCATGTTGGCTTTTCTCCTTAGGGAAGACAGGTCCTCATCAAATAAATCTTAGGCCTATGTTGCCCAGCTTAGTTTATGGGATTACTAATTCACTTTGAAACAGGAGTTGGCAACGTCCATCTCTTTTGTAGCTTTTGTTACTACTTTGGCCTTTACAAAGAAAAGAATAAGAAACTGTTATTTCTTTTTATTCTTTTTTATGAATGCTATGTATTTTTTTATATAATGAATAAGGAGCACAGCTAAAGCATTCAAAACCTCTAGCCAGGCAGGTGTTAGACAGAGCAGCTAGCACCTGCTTGTGGCACACATCAATAGATCCAGGCCTTGTACATTTCTGACAAATATCAAACTAAAACAAGATCAATAACTGGCCGCGAATGAAACTATAGAAACTGCGTCGCGAGACTGAGCAGTTATATCTGGCAGCAGCGGTGGGATATCACCATAGAGCGGGATACCATCCTCGGAGGTGGGCAGCAGTGTGCCTCGAGGCGAAAACCCCCCGGTGTGCGCTGAAGTGTGGGGCTTATGCACTGAGGTGGAGTGAAGGGTGTGCAGACTTTTTCCCCATTGCAGAGTTGAGGGGAAAGCAGAGGCGCAGGGAAAGCTGAAGGTTGTTTATCGAGATAGAAGCTCATTATAATTTTTTAAGTTTATTGGGTCTTGTACAAACTCCTCTGTGAAGAACCTTTCTAATATTTGCATATGATTTTAAAGTCATTGCTTTGGACGATCACGGCCAAAATGTCAAAAATGAGCCGACAGCTTCATTCTGTGTGTCAGAAAGATTTCCCCAAATTTTAGGAAAGAACCGGCCTACTTTAAAAAATTAAATTAAATTTAAAAAAAATTGTTTGACCAGCATGTATCACCAGAATTATTGACAATTAGGAGGACCAATTGTCTTGATGATCCACCCGTAAGTAAAAAATCCTCCTATATTTCTGAGTGGAGTTTGCATTCTCTCCCCCTGTCTGCTCCAGTTTCCCCTACCACTAAAAACATGTACAGTAGGTCTGGCTTGTGCCTCCTGTACGGCGATGTCGCTCCCTTCTCTGTGTGGAGTGAGAGACAAATGCCCAAAAATAACAATTGTAAACCGCTTTGTGACTCTGGTCTGAGAAAGGCGCTATATAAATAAAGATCACTTACTTACTTACTATATACATTTAAGTGAGATATACTGCAACTCTCATCTTCATACATCTCGACAGTTCCACAACTAGTTCATTGTCAGTCTTTTCGACGAGTCTTTCCTGCTATAATTACATGAGCCACGTGCACCTTGTGATTGTATAGTGATGTTTTCTTCCCTTAAAATCTACAATTCTAGACACATTACATCAGTTAAAGCATCTCCCTACATCCAAAACACATTGAACACTTCTGCCTCATAGAATAAAAGTATGATTATTTTTTTATTGAAATAATAGTCCGGATAAAAGAGTACAACAGAACACAACAAACAGATAATATATCTATGTCTTATCTTGAATTAAAGTTACTTATTACATGTCTGTTCCATATTTGACTATGATAAAATAAAGTAAAATTGCAAAGAAAAAATTATCCGTATGTGATCAGTACTGGCCGATGTAAATTATAATGATCAGTGATGGGCCTCAAGAATCCTTATTGGTAGAGCCCTGCACGGGCCTGTTATCTGGGCCCGAGCCCGGCCCTGGGCCGAGGGGATGGCGCCCTAGCCTGGTCCGACATGGTTTTTGAATTCTCAGGCCCAAAACCGTATCAAGCCCGACTTTGTTTTTTTTTTTTTACCTCCCATAACAATATTTTAAGATATGAACACAGGCCCGGCTAGAGGGCGGAGTTATACATGGTAGTGATGTGTTGCAATGAGTTCTGTGTGTACATAGTGAACGGCCGCAGCTGTACGATACCCAGATGCTGCAATAAACTACAACACACTTGAAGGTAACGCTATGTGTCGTCAATGACAATACTATAGAGAACAACAAATACTACAGCGTGATAGATTGCTATATTCATTGGGTGCGTTCGTAATCTGCCGCTCTGAAAATGAATAATAAAAGTGCCCGAGCCCGGCCTGTGTCCGAGGTAATTATACGGTCATCGGCCCGAAGCCCGGTCCTCGGGCCTAGGGCTCAAGTGCAAGGCTCTACTGATTGGTGCACATCTTACTCTTTATACATATTCCTTGTTGTTCTTCTATGTCCTACAAAGAGTATGTGTGTTTTACAGGAACTCAAAGATCCTCAGTGTCGAGATGAGATGGCTGCTGCCCGTGGGGCCCTGAAGAAGAATGCCACTATGCTGTACACAGCTTCGCAGGCCTTTCTCCGCCATCCAGATGTGGCGGCCACACGTGCAAACCGGGACTACGTGTTCAAGCAGGTGCAAGAGGCCATCGGGGGTATCTCCAGTGCAGCCCAGGCGAACTCTTCCTCAGAGGAGAAACACGGCCATGTAGGCATTGGGGAACTAGCCGCTGCTCTCAATGAGTTTGATGTAAGTACTTCACTCAAGTGTATGAGAACGATAACAGTACTTACCATACTATGTCTCGTCATGAAAAAGGAAAACGGACCCCTTTTTGTTTCCTTTGCTATTGTATTAGTTTAAAGTAGCAATACATTTTTCCAAATTACAAGATTAATTCTTGTTTTTGTTTTGTGTATTTATATATACAGCTATATACAGATAGCTGATATATATATATATATATATATATATATATATATATATATATATATATATATATATATCACAGCTTTATGTGCTATTCATTCACTTTGTATAAATGTGGGGGTGTGCTACAGTTGTTACCACAGCTGTCCCAGGGCAGACCATCAAAACCGGGGCTCCCAATCTGCTTTTGGGGCGTCAGTGCACACACCAGATTCCTTTGGGTGAAGTGTATCACCTAAGGACACAACTGTTTACATTTGAGACCACATGTGTCCCACTCCTGATTTTCCCTTTGCTCTCCAGACACAGCATCAATGCCGTCTTAATACTAGTCAAATCTGACAAAATCAGGTTTTGACAAGCAGATGTGACCATATGATTATTGTGAACGTTTTACTTTACTGTATGACCCAGCCTGTTCCAGATTTGGTATTTTCTTGCTGCCATCTAGTGGTCACATACTGCTAGTACAGCCGTTCGTCTCTTTAATCTTGCTCTGACACAATACAATGATGTAGTGTTACCTATACATACTGGTTTTATTAGTTAAGCATTTTACTTGATGGTATTCTCAGTAATACAGAGATCCCATGTGGTCATGTTAAACATTACTATGTTATCTCTTTGTAGAAATGTTTGGTCAGGCTGAGATCCAGAAGAACATAGAAGGCAATGACATTTCAAGTGACCAAATGAGTGCATGAGCCCATCAAAATAGCATTGATTGTGTTTTATGTAAAGCAGAACAGCCTTTTCGAAAAGCAAATGTGCAGCATAATTCCATTTCATTTGGCAGACATGGCAGACAGGCAGCAATAAAATGAGACAAATTGCCCTTTACTAACGCAGAGCTTGGTCAGATCTGCTCAGAATAATAATAGCCTCATATACCAGACAACCCGTGGGATATTATTTATTATTCTATGCAATGCAGTTTGAGATTGGCTTGACTACAAATTCACCAGTTTATGCTGTTTTTAGGTAGTACTATGATTGTGCTCATCTTTGACTGATATGACGTGATTGCTGTGTCTTCATTAATGGACTTACCATGACGGCTGCGGTTTTGTGATTTTTTGTGTGTGTGTGTGCGTTTTGGTTTGAAGGCTCTTCTCTCTGTTTTTATCTTTTTCTCATAATGATGAAAGTTTGATGCACTGTTTGATTTGGGATGTAAATTAATACAATAAATCCAAAGTGAAGAAATTAGGTTTATTGAAATGATTGTAAGGAAGGAGCATGAGGCAGGAGTTATAACACAGACCTCATAGAATCCACATTCATGAAATCTTGGTATGGTCCACTCAAGGCAAGTCTGGCTATGCTTTTTATTACTGATGATGTTTACCTCCAGATAAGAGGGCACTATATATGTCCTTGCTTCTGCACCTCAATGTGCCATTTCTGTATCTCTCATCAGTTTTGTAACACATTGCGGATAGTGCTATACATTGGAAAAGCAGTGTTGTTTCTACCCAAAGGCTGCACTTTGTTCTTTGTTCTCACTCTGAAAATGGCTTTTGAGTTCAGGTCTTTAAGAGCAGGTACAGTACCTGTATTCATTCACATTACTCACTGGATACATGCTAGCATGCACAGATTCAAGCTTGATCTTGAAAGACCTGCTTAAAAAAAGAGCAGTAAAATATTGTATATGAAGTTTTCTGTGGATGGAGTTTGTTTCATGGCCAAGCAAACTGGACAAATTAGAGATGAACCTGTACAGGCTATGTTGCATAAAATACTTGCATTATCCTATCTTTGTGGGTACAGCTGATGTCAAGGCCCTGTGGGTATTAGGGTGAGAATATACTGTAGCTTAGACACAATATTTTAGGTCACATAATTCACAACATAGTGTGAACTGTGAATTGAGTCCAACAACCACACAACACAAAAAACAAAATGGTGACTGGTGATCTAATTACACATAACATAATATATTTTGTATACCCTTTGTCTAAATAAGAGCATGGTAAATGTTTTATTTCATGTGCTTTATGTGACCCTAATATTTCGTTTGCGTATGCATTCCGGAGATAGGTTTGCCTAAGCTATAGGTCTTAGTCATGTAGAACCAAACATACCCATTCAATGTCACATCATTATGACAGAAATCAAGCACAAGCACTCGAGGTACTTTTAATGAAGATAACACTGTTAAGTACCAACAAAAACAGAATGATGCATGCAGTTTATTTTCTATCCAGAAGATGGCAATAGTTAATCACAGCATTTTTCTTTTAACAATTTTCCTCCTTGCTCCTGTAGTTTTCATTTTTATCCAGAGAATCAGTCACTCTTATCAGGCCTGCATCACAATGTGTAGCTTTGATTCAAATCCATGATAGTTTTGACATATTTCAAATATGTGCCATAAAAAAGGATGTCTGTTTTTAAGTGACCATCTGGATTCTCCCAGATTTGACCCCAGTGAACTGTGCACTTGTCCTTTTTCACTGCACTTTCCTGTGTAATCGGTGCTCCATCCAACCAGGCTGACCACTGATCTCTCCTCACACAACTGCTCAGGCCTGCTCCCTTTCACATATGTGCTCAGTGGGGCTTGATGCACACTTTTGTGTCACGCTATCAGTTGGTTTCTTTTCCATCTGCTTGCCCTCCACACTACTCCCCTTTGTCTTTGTTTGACTTTTTCCATGGCTCTATACATCATTTGAATGAGGCTGTGCTTACATACTTGCTCTGAGCCTATTTAACCACTGTGTTTTCAACCGGAACTCTCCACTGCAATATTGCACTACATGCTGGTCCCCAGTCTGCACACATTTAGGGCTAACTATAACCGGATTTGCTCAGCTCAGGAAAGGCGCCCTTAACAGGCTTTCTCTGAGCCCCACTGTGGCAAACATTGCCTTCTCACTGTAAGTCATTTTAGAAAGCTGCATGCATTCATTCTGTCTGTGTCAGGAAATTGGTTACATTTATGTTTATTGGACGACGAGACCCTAAGAATTACAGTTAATATATAAATACCAGAGTCTGAAACAAGAAAGGCCTGACGGTCTTGATTTAATTCTTAGCTGTTGTGTTTTTAGATTCTGAAAATGCTTTACCCCGTTCGCAAGCAGTCTCGCTACTTGATGGAAAGGTATTTCTTTGAACAAAGCCTTTTTAGCAGTGACCTTTTGGTATGGTTCATTTGTGGCTGACACTGCCTATGAGTCATGGCTTCAGCAACCTTAGTGAAACAGTGGCTACGGGAGCAACCGGCTTTAATGTATGTAGATGTATTCCTAACTCAGAGATGGCTTTCCTGGTAATTGCTAGATCAATCTGTGCACTTCTACCTTTATTTCATTTGAGGCTCTTTTTTTCTTGGCAGCTCCACATCTCAGGGTGAACAATTTTGGTAGAATATTGAATTCAGATTTGCGGTTACATAAATTATGAAACCCTCTACACCATGTCCATCCTGTGAAAGTTGATCAAAACAAGTCCTCCTAGTGATATAGCCAGGAAGCTGTCAGTTTTCTTTTTTTTAGGACTGATAATTAGTGATCAAGGAGGCTGTTAATCAATAGATAGAGCTAATATTAATTTGCAGTAAAAGTGATAACTTTCTTTAAATATTTGAAGCCTATTATTGTTAAACAAATAGAATACAGAAAAAAAGAGACTGGATGTCAGTTTTCATTTTTGACTGAGGTAGACATTCTCTGCTGATCAAACACATTCATACCTCATTTGTTGAACGGACGCATGATACTCACACAGTATCAATACTAAGAAGCAGCTGCAACCGGGTGACAAAAGTGCAACTACCATTACCACCCCTAAACAGACAGTCTTTTCAATTTGTTTGTTTCTTGGGTTCATCCATTCCAACTCTCAAGACAAACTGTACAAGCGTATGTGATCGAAACGTCAGAGTTGCTTCCTTCATAGGCCAATAATGCAATAACCAACCAATAACGTAATGAATTATTGGCACAATAGAACTATTGTGTTATTGGCCGTTATTACGTTATTGGTTCTCATACTGCCTTCTAAATTGGGAACATGTCATCGACAGGGTTATTCTTGGTTTATCTTCACCTCTACTCAAACAACTTTGAATCTACAAAATGACCATTTTAACCAGGAGGGGGAGTCCCAGGAGAGTGGAGAGATAAAGCACACAGATCATGGTTTGTAGCAAATCAGACACATCACCACTGTCTATGTTAATGTTTTGATTAATGTGTACCTTGTAATAATTAATCTTACCCACTTTTTGTATTAATGGTGGATTGTGGTTATGGTGAATTGATGAGAGGATTTCATATATAATTGAGTGTTATTCACTGTAGTGTATGGTACTGATGAACATTTTGATGATTAACTTTTTTTTGTTCATGTTATTTTGATTTTAGGCAGACTATTTCTTTTAACACTGATTCGTGAAAAAAAGCCTAATTCTGATGCATTTACTGTAGGGCTGGGCGATTTGGCAAAAAAGTAAAATCTCGCTTTTATTTCCTGATTTAGACGATTTCAATTTTAAATCTTCAAATCTTTTCATTAAAGTCACCAAAGACAGACTTTGCCCTTAAAAAATTTTTTTTTGATCTTTTCGCTCATTGTTCAAGTTTCAGAACTATTTTTAATTTGTTTCCCCCAATACGCATTATAAAAGTCTTGTACAGACTGTGCTGATATTGCAAATATGATTAATGTGCTGCTGGAACTCTCACAAATCCTTCATTCGATTTCACCATTTTCACATTTTTCCCAAATTCGATTTTTTTCAAAAGGCGATTAATTGCCTAAATTTGATTTATTGCCCAGCCCTAATTTACTGTAATGTTTATTTATGT